CGAGGGCGCGGGCTAAGGCGAGGGCGCGGGCTCGGCGCGGGCTAGGCGCGGAGGGCGCGGTTGACGCGGAGGGCGGGGCTAAGCGCGAAGGGCGCGAGGCGCGGGCGGCGCTCGGGCATGGGCTAAGGCGCGGGCTAAGGCGCGAGGCGCGGGCTAAGGCGAGGGCGCGAGGCTCGGGCGCGGGCTAGGCGCGGACGCTCGCGGGAGGGCGCGGGCTAGGTGCGGAGGCGCGCTAGGGCGCGGAGGGCGCTATGGCGTGGAGGGCGCTTGAGCATGTGACGGAGGGCGCGTGAGGCACGGAGGCGCGCTAGGGCGCGGAGGGCGCTAGGGCGCGTGACGGAGGGCGCGTGACGGAGGGCACGTAGGGCGCGGAGGCGCGCTAGGGCGCGTAGGGCGCTAGGGCGCGAGCTAGGCAAGGATTCTAACCTACTCGTGATACCATCTCAGAAAGTGAATGCAACGAATGATGTGACTAGGAAAGCAAGGCAGTACAAATATGAAACCCTGACTGAGTTGTACTCACTAAGGAGCACCTCACAACAGCCTATAACAAATAATAACATTTGACAATCTGAACCATAAGACTGGTCATTTTACTTCGTCTGAAAAAAACAGACAGTGCGTACAATTTCGTCTAACACCAAGTACCGAGTATGCCCCTTCTCCCGCCCCTTTCAGCCCCAACCCCCTCCCCCTCCCCACCAATCCCCCACCCCCACCCCCCGCCGCCCTCTCCCCCTCTTCCCTTCTCCCTCGCCACACCCCAATCACCTCGATATTCACTACAGCCACCCAACCCAACCCAAGTTCCTCGCGAAGTCCCTCACACGTCGCACAAATCCAGCCACAACTCCCCCAGACCCACTTGCCCCTCGCAGCCCTAATACCCCCCTACACCTCTCGCATCCCAACTGCCCCTCCATCTGCCAACTCCCCCCATTCCCTCCCTCTCGTAGTCGCTCGCAACCCCCAACACCCGCTCCCAAATCCCCTCTCCCTCGACTCGCGGTGCGGGCCAACACCCTCACCACTTTATGTAGCGTCGCTCTGCAAACAAGCAACGAAAATAACTACAAAGCTGCAATTTGCAAAATCAGACAACAATATTAGTTTCATCTTATAAATCAGACATGTCTTCAGCATTCGTCTGGAAAATCAGACTAGAAAATGTTCCCCATCTGAACGTCAGACGAAAGGGGAAACAACCTTTATGTTTTTTTCAGACGGTCTCAAATCCTAGCAAGAGCCCTGAAACAGAGCCAGATCCTGGCTAAGCCGACTCCCCACCCCCCAACCCCCCACCCCCCCCCCCCCCCCCCCCCCTCCTCCCCTCCACCCCCCCCCCTCCCCCTCTCCCTCTCCCTCCCCCCGCCCCACCCCCCTCCCCGCCCCTCCCTCGTGGCATTGTAACAAAATTAATACTCGCTTTCATGTTTGATTTTACATTCATGTCCAATTTTGTTTGGGTGTTTTTTTAAAAGAGAGTTCATACCAATAACTCAGCTATCAAGGTGCTTAGCTTAGGAAGTGGGCAAATACATAAGAGTATTGAGAGTGCAAAGTGTATTAAACGTACCTGCTTATTGACTTCTGTAGAGTACCTGAATGTCGAGAGTTACCTAAACTGGGGTTGGGCTGGGGCGCGTTCCGGTTTGATGACTGGGTGTAGGGGGGTGCCGCGTGCATCAACAGTGCTAGCCCACAGTCCTATGCCCTCAATCTCGTGCCAGCACAATGGTGGGCCTAAGCAGACAAAATGCACCGAACCGAAGCTACCTACGTCAGGAAGCGGATTTGTTGCAAAGGGTTTCGGCAATGGACACGTGGCGAAAACATGTGCCCGTAGACATGAAACGTGACAATACTTTGGAGGTTAGCCAGGAGCGATTAGCATCTGTACATCAGATACCGCGCCTGGCATAACCTGATTGTGGATGACATTGGCCCATACTTGGTGTGTCGAAAATGAGAGTCAGTCTAAAGTCAGGATACTTGGATAAACATGGTACCAAAACATATATAATTTGATAGTACTCCAGGAAACTACGGTCCAGGCCCGTCGCTTGGTCTGGGATGCGGCCCTAGGTGCGCGAAAAGTAGCCCGTTTTCTCACGTGCAGTGGCCCAAAACGAGCCGTGAACGTGCACGGGCCTGACCAAGATTCCGGACTTCAAATCAGGGCTGTGTATAGGGCTGTCCTTTTTGGTGTTTTAAGCAGGGTTAAGACTTCACAGTGCTGAACCAACCCATCTTTGCATTCAATTTACACCTGACCAACATGCAACATAAGTGTCTTAGTCATTGCTATCACTGACTACGCTAGGTGGAAAGAGACTCGGCCTAAGGAACATACTTAACACATCCTAAGTAGCAGTCTTACGAGCCTTCGGGCCTTTCAACGAAACGTACGCTTATTTTCATTGACCTAAGCCCTCCCCGAAACGGTTACGACCGCCGGTGTTTAGCATTGTATAATCTCATTATATAGTGCATTTTCACCTCCAAAAAAAAAAAAATTTACTCAACATCTTTGTTCCAACAGTTTAACAGTCAGCAGTTCTATAAGTGTATCTCCCAGCCTAACACCACTATGAGAGATACGCTCGCAGGTCGATAAGAACGAGGGAGAAAGGGGATGGTTAGTGGGAAATTGTTTTTTAGAAAGTGGGGGTGGGGGTTCGGCCGAATCACAGGTGCACGTAAAATCAGGGTCAAGGCCCAATTCAGCCCTGATGTCGTCCGGGAAAGGCCCCAGCGCAGCCCTGACTCGGCACGGACAGTACCCGAAATCAAAACTTAATTTCGGGGAGGTACTCTAACCAGTGCCCAGATCTTCAGGGCGTTACGGGAATATGCCCGTCAATCGACAGCCCTCCTGCGGTCCCTTTTCCCAAATCGAACACATATTTGAAGCAGCGGACAATAAATGGGTTTGACAAATGGGTTTGAGTTGATCACGCACGGTTACTTTCCGAAACTATACGCCAAAGGCGCAGCTATGTCGCTTCTGCGTACAGTACTGGCCTTTTTCGATCAGGGCGCAGATTTACTGTATCTGTGCACGTTATCTCAATGTGCATGGCTACTGTAAAAAATAACACCACCAGGGCTGTCGCTTGGTCTGGGCCCAACCCTTACGAAGCTGAGCTGGGCCGAAACAAGCCCTGAAACATCCGGACAGCAGTCGAATCTAGCCCTTAAATTCAGGCCATTTGGATTCCTGCACTGAGCCACATGCACCAAAAAGCTAAGTAACTCTAGGTACGTACTCTACCGATCATAGCACGCTGGTGCGGGAGAGTAGAGAGGGCTGGGAGGAAGGGAAGTGGGACACGTACACGGTCGAAGGTCAGGAAGAGGGGAAGGGGGAGGGGGGGGGGAGGGGAGAGCAGGTACACGGGAAATCCAGGGAAGGCTCCAAACCCGTCCGTTAGGAATACGGAACAGGAAAAAACCAGCCCTGAAAAGACTGAGCTGAGTTGAAACGAACCCTGAATTCTCAGGGGAAACGGGCAAATGCCTGTGAATCGACAGGCCTGAACACCACCCTTGTGTACACTTTGCGTCTTTGGACACATCTGAACAGTCCCTACCAGTGGTACATATTGCCTATGTTGTCGTTTAGGTGACTGATTTAACCTAGAAGTTTGGGCTAATTATACTGGGAGCCACAAAACATTATACTGGGAGCCACAAAACATTGGCAGCTATCCCTGCTCTGTCACGGATCGTCACTTGTTCCTTCAAATAAAAATGGTCACACGTTGTTTGTAGTTAATCACCTGCTTAGCAGAATTGATTACCAACCGGTTTTTATCGTTCTTCTTTTTTCTAAGGATGCCGATTGCACAATAGAAGTGATTACATCCACGAACCGGGAATGTTGAATACCCTAAAGTTTTTTCTGTGGTCAGGGTTCATATCTCAGTCAAGTTTCGTGAAATGATGTCGCACGTCTGGCACACAAGTTTCCAGGTACAGTAAAGATGAAGGAGGGGGGGGGGACTCGGGAGCCCCCTTTGGCACACAAGTTTCCACATTCATGTCGGTGCATGGGCACACAAGTTTGCAGACTCACGTCGGTGCATGTAAAGGCCAGACTGACGTGTCTAGTACTGCTGACATGGTGTCCAATCTATTTTGGCGGGTGAACATCAGCGATGCGACCTGCGCACAGGTGGCAAAACGGAGGATTTCGTGTTGTGTTCCTCTGAAAGGCTCTGTTTGGTAGGCGTTAATCTCTAAAAAACCGGCACCGTGGAGTCTTCTCTCAGATTTCGGTAAGCGAGTCTTATCTGTAGCATCACTTCTACATTCTATACGTTCTATCGTTAGGTTAAACTCACAAGATGGCTGGGCCCGCAAACCGTAACCCTAAAGTTACGTCGGGGTAACACGACTACCTTCCTGAGGTGTAGGATACCACGTGGGTGAAGTGTCTTTGTGGCTGAGAAGGCTACCTCGAAGGCGCATCCTCGACCAGGGCACACCTGCGGTTCAGTCATGTCGTGATGAGGCAACCTGCGCAGCGTGTAATCAATCGTCGTCGTTGGCTCACTACTAAATTTCTGGTAACCCAGTCTATTAGACTTTTGCCAATGTTAGTAAAACGCTGCGCATGCCACCTGTCACTGTGTCACAGGGTGCTTTAACGTCCCGAGCTCCGGAGCTTCGTCACGTGCACAACCTGGGATAAGCGTGAGCACAATCACGGGTGCTCCTCCTCTCTTCCCCTCCCCCCTCCCCCTGCCGCAGGGCAGTAATGCCGCGCGGCGCGACTACTACTACTACTACTAGAACTTCCCATCGTCCCGGAGCCCTGCTGAGTTGGCGGGTGCGCGGCGGCAGGCCCACTCAAGGCCGCGCCGCGCTCATCCACCCGCGGCGCCAGAGCTGTCACCACCTGAGAGAGCGCTGAAAGTGGCGCGCCATTATATGCGAGTGAGGAGGCGTTGAAAGTGGCGGGAGGAGTTGGGGAAGGGAAAGGGAGGCGAGGGCCGATGGGGAGGAGCGATGGCGCGGGAGTGGCTGGGCGGGTGGCTGTGATGGGCGTGGTGGCGGTGATGGCGATGGTGGGGAGCAACGAGGGCCTCACGAAGGGCGGTTGGGCGCAGCGCTGCTTCTGGCGCAGCAGCGCCTGCAGCCGTGGCTTCCTCCCCATCATGATGGCGCACGCTGCTCCTCTTGACCCCACCCAGTGTGAGCGTGTGATTGTGGGAGTGTGGTGAGTCCGAGTGTGTGCGTGCGTTTGTGCATGTGTGCGTGCGTGCGTGCATGCATGTGTGTGCGTGCGTGTGTGTGCGTGCGTGCATGTATAACGCCTCGCTACCCACTGGGTCAAAACGAGGGTGTTATTTGGCGCAGCAGAATGCCCTTAACACTAGCCCAGAGGCGTTACACTCGTCCCCCGCTGGTGCCAACGTCCCTGTTGGCTCTGAACTTTAGGGAGTCGGACCCCTCCTGCTGGGACATAGATTTCGTTGTTCTGCTAGCAGCTACTTCGCTGGTTGCCCAGGCCAACGGAGGATCGTTCGCTAGGTTCAAGTCTGGTAACCACATTTCAGTTCTCGCCACAGGCAGAAAATGTGGACCAGCCGGGATTTGAACCCTAGGCTCTGATACCAGTATGACGCCTCGCTACCCACTGGGTCAAGACGAGGGTGTTATATGGCGCAGCGGAATGTCCGTAACAATAACCCACAGGCGTTACAGTGTGTGTGTGTGTGTGTGTGTGTGTGTGTGTGTGTGTGTGTGTGTAACTGTGTGTGCTGCAGCGCACCCAAGGCAAGACACCACCAGGTCTTGCCATCGGATGCACATGCCCGTTCACATCATCGTTATCTCATCGCGTGGCTTCACCGCAACCTCTTTCCCTTACATGGAATCGCAGAACAAACGTCCCTCGTCCCTTACGTCTCACTGCCCCTCCCCTTGCTCGCTCACATTCCTGCGCGGACCCCATTGCTGCGCTGCACAGGGCCGGGGCTGCGAGACATGAAGGCGCAGTGGGGCAGTATAATACCGGCCATCACCGACACCTGGGCGGAGAACGCTGACTGCAACGGATTCGGAAGTGTCACGTGCAACGGTGCTGGCTTCGTGACAACGATGTAAGTGTGGGGCATTCCTGGAATGGAGCTCTCTTGGCATGAGGCCTGTAACGCGTCGTGAGGTGTAACGCCTGTAGGCTTACACGAGCGCTAAAAGGCATCCGCGGCGCCTTTGGAGAATAACCCCCGTTTGACGCAGTGGTGTGGCGGGCGTTACATGAGGCGCTCATTCCAGATTGTGTAGAATGGATCTGTGCGCCGTCATGAGCTGGCCAGTAGTTGTTATGCTGGCCTGTTTCAGTAATTCAGCACCTTTTAATCTGCAGCCTCACACTCTTGCCTTGGCCTATTTGTGGATGCATGACACTGTGTGGATGCATGACACTGTGTGGATGCATTGGACTGTGTGGATCAGAGACTTAGCACGCAAACAACTAACGGGCTCCTTTCCTGCGACCATTGGTGTCTTCAACAGCCTCGAATACCTGTACGTACTCTTTCACTATTGTTTATGTACCTTCTCATCCCCTGCCCCTCTCTCTGACGTGGGCACGAGGTGTTTCGAGGGAAACCAGGCTGGGTTGGTCTCGAGCCCGCAAAAGTGTGGAGTCAAGGCAATTTTACGTGGAGTTGAGTGAAAAAAAAACGTTTCCAGATCAAACCTCTCAGCTTGTTTGCTCGAGTCAGAGATGTTACCGTCTAAAGTGGAGTTCTTGTCTTGCGAGTCTCTGGGGACGGTGAGACTCTAGATTGTGAAAAGGATTATGTTATGAAGCGGGCTTAGGTGTGTGTTTACTAGTTGAAACAAGGCTACAACGCTGTCGCGCACGGCGCGGTTGACCTGGCCGGCCTTCGCGACTAAGGAGAAGGCGCCGTAGCGAGAAAGGAGAGAGTAGTCGTCACGCAGCGGAAGAGAGCTAGGCTAAGCCGAGAGAAGCCTAGCTCCAAGAATCTGGATGAGAAAGAGTGTTGATAGAAGATTCAAGAAGATAGAATAGAAAGTAGATTCAAGGATAGGATGCTACAAACAAGAACCAGAGAGATGTATTTATGCTAGGAAGAGAGAAGCGCGACTCGGAAGGAAACCCGTGTCGCCACTCCTTTGGCATGGCATCTTGGCATAGCGCCTCGATGCCATGCCCTGCTGTATTCTGGAGTATGACGGGGATATGAGGAAGTGCTCTATGCTAGCAGGTGTTGCCGTTCGTAGGTAGCAAGGCGACATCCCCTTTTTGGAAATTCCCATGCTCTTCGCATGGTGAATTCCGAACCTGTTACACTAGTGTGGTGGTGGTCTTGTACCAAGGTTAGTGATAGTACAAAAAGGGGATGGTATGAAAAGACGTGGTGATGTGAGTGAGTGGGTGTGACAAGAGGGGGCCGATACTTTGAATCGACTCTTGGTATAAAGGGGGGTTTTCTATATTCGTTTGGGGCTAAAGGAAAAGACGAAGGCACATGTTGAATGAAGGGTTCTGTTTTGGTAGAAACATCGAGAGCAGCGACTCGGTTCATCTAGCTCGAGTTTACCTTGGGCCCTTTTCTTCTTGTTTGCCTTGTTCGGCATTTTGATTGACTAGAGCCTAGTCTAGCTGACTCGGTTACACGAAGGGCTAAGGCATCCCAGTGAATGACCCTTTGTTTTGGACCAGTGGTGTAGCGGGGCGTTATTCTGACAAGCAGCTTTATGTCACGCTCTGTTCAGTGCCATCTGACACAAGCCGCCATGCTAACGAGTCGGGCATTGCTTGCAAGATGGGGGTGCTCGTCTCGAGCGGGCAGACGTGACTCGAGCCACTTACCAGTCCCGCTCAATCTATGTTTCAAGCTCTGAGCTGAGTGCTTGCGGTATCGGTGGGTGGAAATGGGCCTGCTCTGTGCGACACGACTGTGAGTCAAGCCTGGCCCAGCTTGAGTGAAGCGTGAGTCGACTCAACTCGTGCTCATGTCTCTGGGTTCTAGCATCGAGGGTGTACAGGTGTGTAGGGTTGTGGTGCAAGTGGGTAGTTGCATTATGCTGGGAGGTGTGGATGGTATGTCTATTAAGGAGGGGTGCCAATGATATGAGTGGATTGGTTTGGTGTTTCAAACTTCGGATGGTGTCCCTGCGTAGGAAAACGATCTAAGGCAAGTACTTCTGGCCTCCTGGCAAGGAAAAAACCATGCTTGTCACAAGTAAAGAGATAGAAATATGCTTGCCGAAGAAGGTGAGTATCGTGTCGGCTGCTCCCTGCTGGAAAAAAATACTCGCCTCATTACTCGAATGAGGCAAGCCAATCGAGGCTGGTATTACTCTACCCGCCCCTTGCCCATGTCCATTATGGAGTGCAGAGCCAAAAAGAAGCAGGAACTGGAAGGAATTCGTGTGTGGTGTGCGGTGGGGAGGAGGATACATTGGCACTGCAAAGTAACAATGACAGAGCATTGTAGGGATGAGCAAGGGGCGAACACGAACATGTTCGTGTTCGCCCTTACACGAACACATCCGTTTGCCGAACTGAACACTGTTCGGTTCGGCGAACACTGTTCGGTTCGGCGAACACTTTAAGCAAAAACAGGTGTTCGCCGTTCGCCTGTGAAGGCGTGTTCGGGCGAACCTCGAACACGTTCGCGTTCGTCGCGGGGCAAATTGCAGCAGCGGCCCGAACACGAACGTGTTCGGGCGAACCTCGAACACTGTTTGGCGAACACTTTAAGAAAAAAAAATTCGAGGCGAACCGAACAGGTGTTCGCCCTTGTGCTCATGTCTAGAGCATTGGGTGGAGTGGAGTAATTTCTGTGCCTCAAAACGTGAGTCAGCTATCGAACTTGATGAGAGTCAAGAGTGAAATGACCTTTGAGGCCCCTCAAAAGTCGTTTCTCTATACGTGGTTTTCTGACTTACGTGAGCCAGGTATTGGATTTGATCAGAGTCAATTTTGCATCAATCAAGAATGATTTGACTCGACCAGAAATCGGAGTCGACTTGGCGATTCGAGTCAAGACACTTGATTGGCCATATCCTCTTTGTCTTGGTGCAGCTTGAATCGTCATATGGTCGCCATATCACCCCCCCATCACTTTCATCCTCCAGTGTTCACATCACACACATAAACATCTTATCACCCTCCCCTGCCTCGCCTCTCTTTCTCACTCTCTCCCTCTTCACCATTGCTCTCCCCTCCCTCCCCATGCCTCCTCCGTTCCCACTCAGCTATATGGGCGAAAACCTTCTATCGGGCTCACTCCCATCGACCTTCTCCAAACTCGTTTCTCTAAAGGAATTGTGAGATGCCCTTCCATCTGCCAACTGCCATGATCATGTTGCTGCAACGCACGCATGCAGCTCCCTATTTAATCGTAAAGAACAATGTCTCTGGCCATCGTCACATCACATCACACGTTTCTGTGAGCCTAGCCTACAAACTCGTGCCAGGTCATGTGATGGATGTGTCGACAGTGAGAACTTCTCACTGAGAAGTAGAAGTGAACAGAATGACTAGAATGTCAGCATACAAGGGTACATATAGGAAACCATAGCCTGTCCAACCTAGCCTAACAAAGTGTACACATACAAAATGTACGTGTAATTTGACATCGACAATCCAAATTGAAAACCTTTGGCTTGTGACAAGCTGGCCATGTGTCGGCAATCCCGGCTCGCCACTAGCCGTTCGCGGGCCAGCCCGTTCTCATGGAGCGATTTCTGCAAATCTTCTTGCCTCCCCTTGCACGCCTTTCATCTCCTTGCATGCCTTGCCCCACCCACCACACAGCGTCGCCAATAACAACCAGATCAGTGGGCCCTTGCCTGATGGTATCGGTGCTCTCACTAACATGTACCAGCTGTAAGGCCCTCCACTCCACTCCTCGCACGCCTTCCGGCTGCCTCCCTTCCCTCCCCCCCCCCCTTCCCCCCTCTCCCCCCCCTCCCCAAGTATGTTTTCTCGCTCTGTCATGTCATTTCCTCGCCTTGTATCTCTTGCCCCTTCCCTCCCTACCCATGTGCTTTTGCAGCACTCTTCAACGCAGCTGCTAGCCTACAGACTCTAATTGATGATGCTCGAAAGCATACTCACATCACACACAACTCCAGAGTCGTCAGGCATTCACGTGCAGAATGTTACAGCAAATGCCTCTCAACCTCATTCCGATACATCTCGTTTCCATTGCACATTGTTTCTTCGAAACAGGCAATTGCACTACAACCAATTGGAAGGGCCACTCCCAGCATCATTCACCCATCTATCTGTGCTAAGGATATGGTAAGGCGGCCCCAACAAACAAGGGCACCCAACCTCCATCCATCCATCAATGCACGATTACATGGTCTTAAAGCAGTTGGCATCAAGCATTCATTAGTTGGAGAGCGGTACGGGTGCAATGCACTTGCATGGCTCGTTGTAGGCATGTTTAACCTTGGCCGTGAGTGTTGCTGACGCCTTGCCCCGGGGCCAGCCCATGATGGCCTGGTTCCTCCCCACTAACCCAGCCAACCCTTGACCATCTCCTAGTAGTGACAGTCCAAGCTCTGCCTGAGTCGGCCAGGATTTGCCCAATGTTTGTGAATCACAGCCCGTTGTCTTCACTGTGAAATGCAGCAGCGTTTGTGATGCTGGGAGGGCCACTCCCAGCATCCTTCACCCGAGCACGACGCATGGCTCATTAAGCATGCTCGCCTGCTCGATTCGTGCTAAAATGCAATGCGAAATTAGGCTCCCGACCCAGGCTTGTCGTGAGCTGTGCTCGAGTTTAGCCAATCTAGGTGACTCAAAGCTCGATTCGTTGCTCATGTCTGTCAATGCGTTGCTTGCTCCCATGGCCTTCATCAACACCACGACACTCATGCAAGGCTGGTCTCGTCTGAAACAACCTGCTTCCTTTCTGAACTATCGTCGCCCCCCCATCAGCGAGATTTTTAACAACCAGATTTCGGGATCTCTACCAGAGACGCTTGGGAGTCTCTCCCAACTAATATCTTTGTGAGTTCTCCCTCTCATATCCTCATCCTGTGCTTCCCCCTCCTCTCTAGTTTGCTCCTCCTCCTCCACACGAGAGTCATGACCCTCTCTGTGGCCTTTCGGGTTGTGATCATATGCTTGCTGTCTCCAGGAAGACATGTGCCACAATGCCTGTCACTCACTCCCTTTGTTGCTCCTGCTATGCACCCAATCCGGATCCACCCATGCATCCAGACAATAAGAAATGCATCACCATTCTTCTCTCGCCATGTGTTCCTTCTTTCAAACCCCAGCTTTGCTTCCTGCCTTGCTGCGCATCACATCACATCGCATCCCATCCCATCGCATCGCATCGCCTCGCCTCGTCTTGCGTCGCGTCGCGTCGCGTCGCGTCGCGTCGCGTCGCGTCGCATCGCATCCGCATCGCATCGCATCACCCCAGCCGTGCCCACAACAACCTCTTATCGGGTACCTTGCCTTCGACTCTAACAACCACGACTAATCTCGGTTTCCTGTGAGCCTCTTGCATTTCATGCCCCGTGTCACTCAGCCAGCTGCAAACCTCGAGCCGTCGACATGGCATGAGCGTAGGGCCAGGTTAGGGGTTGGCCTGGACTGGCCCCAACTGGAAAGGCTCGTGGCACGGACGGGGCCTGCCGCCTTCTCATTCAGCTGAATCACATGCATCACTTTTAAGGCCATTATTTTGCGGGAACTTGGTAAATTAAAATCTCTATTATTTTGACAAAATCTCTAGCTCTCCCTCGGTCCTTAGCTTAGCCATGTCCCCAACAACCTGGCCGTGTCCGTCCCCTCTCAAGTTGGATAGAACTACCAACTAGCTTCTCAGAACACTATGATTACCAGCCTAACTTGGGAACAAACGTTCGTTTAGGGTCATGTAAGTGTTAGTAACTCGATACTTTACTTGTTTGTTAATGAATGCCAATGAGCATCTGAGCAGTAATGAAGAAAGGACGCATGCCTTTCTGGATCATAGGGGAGAAGCATGAAATTCGCAAGTTGGTGGTGTTGGGGAGGTGTTAATTCGTGTTTTAGTAGAAAGTTACTGCTCAATTATAGGAATACGCATGGCAGGTAGGCAAACCTTGGTTCAACCTGAGGCGAACCACTTTGTCTCAGGTGGAACCAGGGCCTTTGAAAAACATTGGCCCACACCCTGGGCCCTGCCCAGGGTCATGTCTAGTATTTCGTGACTTGCTTTGCACAGCCTAGGCTCGGTCATTCATTTTCGCCCATTGCCAAGTGTGAGCGTGCGTGTGGGCCTTGACTTGGAGCAAGCGGCACATCAAGAGAGGGCGGGCGCTGCATCACTCCCTCCCACTGCTGCACGTGCACCCTTGCTACGGTGCAAACATTCCCGCCTGCCGTTCCTTCTCACTCGACCCTGTTTGTCCTCCCCTGTGACCCTTCCTCCCCTGCCATCCCTCGTCTCCTCTCCTGCCCTACCCTTTCTCTCCCCGTCGCCGTCTGCACCTGTCTCTCCCCCTGCCCCCTGTTGCACGTCCCCTCGCCTAGCACGGCAGTCATCTGCAGAACAATGCCCTGAGTGGAACCATCCCTACCAACCTGGTCACTATCACAACGATTGGAGATCTGTGAGGCATGGGGCGGATGGATGCAGCATGGGCGTGGACTCATGGCACGCACTTGCACATAATGGATGTCTGTGCATGTGGTATGGGGTTCTGGTCGTCGGTTACGGGTTATGGGGAGGGGTGTGGCATGGTTGATGGGATGGCACATGGTGCATGGGGTATGGTTCATGCGGCATGGTGCATGGGGCATGGTGCATGAGACATGGTGCATATGCATGAGTGCATGGTAGTAGCTGCCCTCCTTTCAGAAGTGTTATGTTCCCACAGCGTTCTGTAGCGCACACATTGGCGAAAAGAGCTACATTAGTGGAGCATCATTGCATGCCTCTTCACCCTGTCGTCTCGTGAACCTTCCATGTGTGTGCCGCTCATCAGTCAACCTTCCTTCAAGCCCGCTCAGCCTCCTGCTCATTCAAAATTGCCCGTTGAGGTCATAGTCCCAAACTGTTAGAACAAATGGACCATCGAACTGCATACCGTGCTTACGTGATCAACCTGTGTGTTGCCAAATCGGCCAAGGGGTGTGAAGTCCGATGGAATGCATTCTGCGGTGCGGACCCCGCACGCCTCTCCTTGTTGACCAGTCAGTTTGACAAGCTCGGCGCTCGCTCTTTAAGCCCGTGCGATCCTGCTTGCTGTGTGTTCAAATCCTTGCATCACTAGGTTCACCACTTCTCACTCATATGTGTTTGCCTCTCCGGTGGCCTCCCACTCACGCCCTGCCATAGCTACATCGGGATGCACATTGCGTACTCACATCTCTTGCTTCCTCACATTTCCCTCCTTTTTGATACATTTTCCCCTACGTGCTCACCCCTCCCTTCCCGACTCTGGCTGCACATTCTTCCTCAGAAACTTGGCGCACAACAAATTCAGTGGCCCCCTTCCAACGGCATGGACGACACCTGATATGTTTAAGCTGTTTGTCTTTCCTTCTCCTTTTCTTTCTTTCTTTTTTCGGGTATGTCTTTGTGCTTTCATGTGAAATCTCTACTCCGCTTCACCGGTTATGCCAGTGCACATGCCACCACACAGCACGCCACGAACACCACACCCCTGGCCATGCCGCATCGCATCACCACCTGCATGAGCCAGCTGCGAAGCTCAACCGGTGGAAAACAGCTTGTTCTCACTCAGTCGACGGAGTCGTCTCGACAACCACCGGCCTGACCCGACGCAAATTCGTTTCTCCTGAGATATTTCCTTTACTTCAGATCTGCCCTTTTCAAATCATCAAATGTAGCCTTGCTCCACAGACCCCTCACGCCCCTCCATCACCTTCACCCAGATTTTGTGTTTCCCTTTGCAGGAAACACAAATTCGTGCCCGTACTGGTGTATGAGAAGCATTGAGGGTTGGTATCAGGCATGGGTTCGATCGAGCATGAGCAAGAAACGAACCACAATCAGTTTGGTTCATACGGCCAGAACTTGCTCGCTACGAGCCTCACCCCATTTGCACGAGCAGAGCTCATTGGCTCGGGTGTGTTGTGGTCTCGTCCCTCTAGGCTTAAATCCTGCAGCCCAAATTGCGCAAGATTAGTAAACTTGCGCAAGGTTGAGTGCTTTCTGGGTGGTCGTGGTGATGTACGCAGAGTCGAGCAAGGTGTTGGAGGGGTGGCTTGTCTGATTTCGCCCTCCCTCTTGCAACAAATGATGTTTTTCCGCTGCGTCAGCAAACCCCAGGGTGTTTGTGTTTGGACTGAGAGTCCTAATATGCAGGGGGCTGAAACTTGAAGTTTTAGCATTGAGTTTTGCCTCGACCAATCATCTGATTTCGCACATACCATAACCAGACGTTCGCCAGATAGAGCGTCCATACACCAACAGTGCAAGATTAGTAAGGTTGACCCACGCACTCCGCAATTTGGGCCGCGGGCTTTATTCGGAACCAAATCGGCTGCTTTTGTGCTCATGGCTATGCCGTACTACACCACGCCACATTTATGTCAGCTCTGGGCAACCGCCGGCTCTAGGTGGTCTCACTGCATCCCCATGCCTTACTGCATCCCCATGCCTTACTGCATCCCCATGCCTTACTGCATCCCCATGCCTTACTGCATCCCCATGCCTTACTGCATCCCCATGCCTTACTGCATCCCCATGCCTTACTGCATCCCCATGCCTTACTGCATCCCCATGCCTTACTGCATCCCCATGCCTTACTGCATCCCCATGCCTTACTGCATCCCCATGCCTTACTGCATCCCCATGCCTTACTGCATCCCCATGCCTTACTGCATCCCCATGCCTTACTGCATCCCCATGCCTTACTGCATCCCCATGCCTTACTGCATCCCCATGCCTTACTGCATCCCCATGCCTTACTGCATCCCCATGCCTCACTGCATCCCCATGCCTCACTGCATCCCCATGCCTCACTGTATCCCCATGCCTCACTGCATCCCCATGCCTCACTGCATCCCCATGCCTCACTGCATCCCCATGCCTCACTGCATCCCCATGCCTTACTGCATCCCCATGCCTTACTGCATCCCCATGCCTTACTGCATCCCCATGCCATGTCTATCTGCAGCGCCGTTTGGGAAGCTGCATCCCATGCGCACAACGCCTTGAACCAAAGAATGCATTCCTCACTGCATCTCAGTTCCCCCTTCCTTCCCCACCTCCCCCCACTCCTAAGCTAATCCGTCACTTCCATTCCATCTCATCACCGACTGCTGCCTCCCTGCCTGCATTCCATTGCGATTAGTCAGCTGTTCAACTGTCTCTGTCTTTTTGTGCCATTTGTCTTTTTTCTTCCCCCAGCAATGTAGGCAACAACCTGTTGAGTGGCACTATACCTGACGAGATCACAGGCTTGATCTATCTCACACTGCTGTAAGGCTCACACTGCTGTAAGGCTCACACTGCTGTAAGGCTCACACTGCTGTAAGGCTCACACTGCTGTAAGGCTCACACTGCTGTTTCTTTTTTACTAGTTGTTCCCCCGCTCTCCTGCACCCCATCCTTGCCTCCCCCTCCCACCCTCCCTCCCTCTCTTCCTAGTACGTTGAGTTTGAGTCTAGGTGTCGTACAGTTCATTCCATCCATGTGTGTCCCCAGCAGCACATACTTGCACCCTCCATGGAGATGTGTGTGCTGATGGGCCTTGTTTCTCTCTCTTTCCGTACTGCCCTCGCTCCTTTCCGTATATTTTTCCTCACTCCTTTCTCGCCATCACTGCACCACCAACATCACCGTTGCAACCCCTCTCTATCTTAGCGGGCCCACTTCAATTCTTGGCCTTTTTCCCTCTCCATTAACTGCTCCCGAGCATGCATTGCACTCTTGCCTATCCGGATATCGATAGCCCTGACCTGAGCAAGGGACAGAGCTGAGCCGGCTTGCCTCGAGCCCGAGTTGGTTCGTCATTCACCCGAACCAAGCCGGCTCGCTCACAGGTCTAGCCGGGGTGGGGAAGGAAAAGGGGAAGGGGAGAGGTGAGAGTGGGGGAGGGGAGGCTCACTTCAAGCAACCACCCCGGCTCACTTGGAGCAGTCCCGCTCGTTCAGGCCCTTCACCCCTCAGGTTGGCCACAAGGATTGTCTGAGGAGCCAGGAATTGTGTGACTTCACTGAGGTGAGGCGCCTCTTGGCGGCAAACCCCAACGCGAATCGCTTTTAGTCGAGCCGGCCATCTCGAGACGAGGCTCGGATCGCCATGTCAACCGGCCAAGACACGGCTCAGCCATTACCTCAGGGACCATCACATCGTGCTCATTCCTTCACACTCCATTCTAGCTTTCCTCCTTTCGTTTCCTCAGTCTTCACCTCCCTTCTTATTACATCCAGAGACCTGAGCTCCAACCGCCTGACTGGCACCATACCGCAAGGTCTTTCTAGTCTTACCGAGCTAGAAACTCTGTGAGTCCCCCATACGCCCCCAACTCAGCTGTCCTCTCATGCTTCCAACAGTAGAACTGGGCTCCTAGGCTCCAGCCATGCGAATAAGAGTGCTCGCTCTTTTCTCATTTGCTCTCCCCCGTTGGGTTGCATTCCTCATCCTTTTATCCACCGTCCTTCCATTCCCTTTCCTTCCTATCCCTTTCCTTCCATTCCCTTTCCCTTCATTCCCCCATCATTCCACCTCTACCCGCAGCAACCTGAGGAACAATCAGCTCACAGGGAAGGTCCTCGAGCCGTTGCCACCAGCAATAATAACGTACAAGCTGGACAACAACTACTTCAATGAGGGGTTCTCCTCCCCCCCGCCGTGTGATCAAGGCTACATCACGTACCGCGGCAACTGTGCGGCCACGCCAGCACAGGATCTAGTGTGTGGAGACAGCCCTCAGAAGACCGACTCTGTGTGTGCTGCCTTCTGTGGTGTCTCTCCCACTTCACCCGCCTGCAACGGCCATGGCGTGTGCTTCTTGGACGGTCCCAGCAACACGCCCACATGCCTCTGTGACGAGAACTACGTGGTTGGGGAGTATCTTGGCAGCTGTGTGCCTGTGGCAGGTGAGCCACTCACAGCCTGACTGTCTGAGCATTACGTGTCCGTGCCATGCCATGCCTTGTTTCCACTCTTCTTATACTGCTGCCAAGCATACGATGTTTTCGCGATTCCTTTGAGAAATCTCGTTCTGCATTCGCCTTTCTGACCATCGCTATGCCTTTCCCCTGCTTCCAGGTGGTAAGACGGAGCAGAATTTGACGCCCACAGGAGCCATGTTCACAGCCACTGGAGACGCCTCAGTGAATGCAGCCACGCTCACTCTCACGCCCGCCCAGCCGTCCAAGGCTGGCAGTGTGTTCCTGGCAGCGCGCGTGCCGCTCTTCTCCTACCAGCTCATCGGGGACACCTGCGGCCGCCAGCTCGCCTTCTCCTCCTCCTTCTCCTTCACTCTCACCCGCCCCGCCGCCTCCGGCTCCGAAGGGTTTGCCTTTGTGGTGGCCTTTGATGCCACCCCGCCCACAACACCGGTGACGGGCGGCATGGGGTATGCGGGGATGGGAGAGCGCAGCGTGGCAGTGGAGTTTGACACGTCGATGGATGCGGGCAACAGCGACCCTGACAGCAACCACGTGGGCATCAACACCGGCGGCAGTGTCGTGTCAGTCGTCACGGCCAAGCCCAGCTTTCCCCTCAATGACGGCACACCTAGGCACGTGTGGATCGACTACGACCCTTCCTCCGATGGCTCCCTGCGCGTCTTCCTCTCCTCCCAGCCATCTCGCCCCACCAAGCCCCTCCTGTCGGCACGCATCTCCTTGTGTGAGGAGCTCGCCCCAACTACATCGGAGTACACCTTTGCCATCGGCTTCACTGCTGCCTCCGCCACCCAGCCTCAAGGCCATGTCGTCTTCGCCTGGACCCTCTCCACACGTGAGTGCATCCCTGAACACATCCTGTCACTCGCTTGTTTCCCTGCCTTGCTGTTTGTTTGTCCCATCAGTTAGGAATGAAAGTTGTTGAACATTGGCTATGGCTCTAACTCAACTTTTCTGTTTTCTCTCTCCTTGCAGGTTTTCCTATCCAGCAAACTCCAGGTATGACATGATATGGTTGCTTCTTTGTCCAAGCAAACTCGTTGCATTGTGAACCAGTTTGAATGCTCACCAGCAGTAACTGCTCCCTCCAAAATAGTCCTTGTGTCCACTCTGTACTCTTTCTTGTATCGCAGAGGCATCGCTGGGCTTTACCTTCAGCGAGGCGGCGCTCTCTATATCGGGGATGAATCCTTTCTTCCGCTATGCCAGCTCGGGTAGTGTAGCTGCTCAGAATGGCAATGACGTGTATGGTGTGCAACCTGCAGCGTCATGGGTTCGCCCTGACTTCACATGGCCTGTCAGGACTCAAACCTCAACATGCGGTTAGTACTCCTGGACCCCCACTAGTGCTCCATGCCATGCCGTACGGTGTTCACATTCGTTTGGGATGCCTCGTGCCTTATCCGGTGTTTGTAGTTGGTCCGGCTCGTGTTGAGCCCTCAGGTCGAGTGAGAGTTGAGGCCAATTGGGCTGGGCTTGCCTCGAGTCTGTACCTATGTCATTGTCGTTTGTAAGAACGGACGAAATAAACCTGCTTCGGGTTGAACCAACTCTAACCGGGCTATTAGTCGAATCGTGCTGGAAAGCTCAGCCGCTAACCGCTGAGCTAAAAGGGCTTGTTTCATTGCGGGTGAGCGCGCCCATAACCCTCCAGGCCATCCTTGCCTGTGACCCTTTCCCAGGACCATAGGCCGATCCCAGTGCTCCTCCAACACCCCTATCTCATTGGGGTAGGCCTTACGACCGCATGCACATTTCATTGTGCACACTGGGATTCGAGCTCGAGACCTTTGCTATGATACCATGTTGGAATTGAGATTGAATTGATTAAGAAAGAAGGCACTAAGCCTTAAGTACACAAGATTAGGTGAGCAAAGCTAGGGAAAATGATGGAATGTGAATCCAAACAAATCTCCAATGATGAGTTGACAGATTTGTTGGATTACGGGAGAATCCCAACCAGATAGGGTCGGGATTACAAATCTAGTCCCAACCTACAAATAACCTACAGTATATAAAATAGAGTACACAAAAAGTTGACAGCCTATTTCTAACAAATCGAACCGAATAGGTTTGAGTTGAACCGATTAGGCTCCTTGGGTGGTTCGAGGTTCGGCCTCATGTGGTCGAACAGCCGGCGGTTCGGTGGGTTGAAGCGGTTTGAGTTCTGAAATACCGGATCCTTCATTAACATTTCGCTTATTTTCAATCGCTCTCTCGCTCTCTCAAATACATATCAGTGGTGCAAAAATGTCAGTCACGGTAGCCCGGAAGAAAAACAGAGGGGTGGGACTCGCTCACTGGATGACGAGGCTAAGGCATATGTGATGCATGGTCAAAACTGTCGCAAATCTCAACGGTGGGTAAGGTTTGTGCGGCTCAATATTCTCCCAAGACCTCTCCACCTCAGCAAGTTGCTCAAAACCTGAGCAGCGGGGGCAAGGGGCCATTGCCTGATGCGTTTCCTCTATACAACTGACGCATGCATTTCCTGGCAGGCGACTGCTGGGCGTACGCAGTGGTGGGCAGCATCGAGGCAGCATACAGCATCATGACCAACACTGCAACGGTGAAGGCACTCTCAGTGAAGCAGTTGAAGGCCGCCATGAAGGCCGGCTGCTCTGGCAGCACGCCTTCTCAGGCCTTCCAGCTGCTGCTCAAGCTGGCAAGCAAGGGAGGAGGGCTCGTGTTGGAGAGCCAGGGGGCGGCGGCGAAAGGCAAGAAGGCAGTTGTGAAGGCAGGCAGCAGCAGTCCTCTTTGCTATCCGTTTCTGAAGCCACTGGCAAAGCTGTTCCGTGTGTCGTGTGGCACTGCTAACCCACGTGTGAGTGGGGTAGCGGGACTCGTGTTAGCTTAGTATAGTGTGGCCATGAAGACTCAACTTGAGTCACTCAAGGAAGGGTGCTTGTCATTCGAGCAGTCGATTTCTGTGCTGCTCATGCTTCTATTACACTCAGTGCCCAGATGCTAGAGCTCGGTGTGACCTGGTCACCCTCTATACTCCATGCATCCAACCTCCTCCGTATCTCATACCTCATGCATCCAACCTCGTCCATACCTGTACTTCCCATCCCCAAGCAGCCCCCCACTGCGTTTCCCATCAGTGGCTTTGAGTCGACGTCCTTCTACGGCTGGTTTGGGCTGCTGCTGGCCGTGCAGCGGCAGCCAGTGGTGGTGCACATTGAGGCTTCCACGGACACGTTCAAGGATTATGATGGGGTGAGGCGAGTAGCGTGGGTGTGAATGAATAGGAGAGTGTGAGTAGACAAATTGTATGGCTGGTTTAAACCCATGGGGGGAAGTGTGTGATTGTTGGGTCCTTGCTTGTGTCCTCCCATGAATAATGTGCGGATTTAAATATTGTCTCATCGTGGTGTTTTCAATCCTCCCCTCCCAGTCCGTACACCTGACACCTTATCACAAGCAGGTGGCGGCTAATCACTTCTTGCCTTCCCAATACATCCCTTCCCCCAGTTGTACAAGTACCAGGACCCCGACTGCTTCACGTACAACCTGAACCACGTGGTGCTGCTGGTGGGGTACCGCCTGGTGGGCAAGGAATCGCGCTTCCCCCACATGGCGCCGCCCTTCTGGATCATCCGCAACTCATGGGGGGCTGACTGGGGCGATGGGGGCCACATGCGCATGGACATCCAGGGGGGGGATGGCGTGTGCGGCATCAACTCGCTGCCGGGCCTCTACCCTGTCGTTAGAGGTGAGTGTTGTATCAACCAAGGGTGAGAGAGTAAATGGTAAAAGGATAGTATAAGATGAAAGATGAGTGCACGGGCAAGCGGGGATGAGTACATGGGCTGCTTTTTGCACACATTTCAGCTCATAACGCCATCTCAGAATTCATTTCAGGTTTTAAAGCCAGCTTCTGCTGATTTCAGAACCCACTTGTCTTGCTTCTGTGCCCTCCTTGGTGGGCCTCCCTCTACCTACAGCCACAGACCCCTGCAACAAAGCCGGCCACGGTGATAACACTGGTTCGTTCTTCAATCCCTGCGGCAAGTTCACCTGCACTGCGAAGGGCAAGACAAATGAGTGTGACTGCAACGACCAGCGCTTCATCCAGACAACCAATGCCGATGGCTCTCGCACATGCGCCTACAGTAAGCCTCTGTTGCTGCTGCTGCTGCTGCTGCTGCTGCTGCTGCTGCTGCTGCTGCTTCTGCTGCCGCCGCCGCCGCCGCCGCCGCCGCTGCTGCCGCTGCTGCTGCTTTTGCCTGATCTTGACGTTGAAACCCTCTCAGTGCTTTGCTCCTCTCACCGTTCTCTCATTCCTCCCCTTCCCTCTTGCTCAACTCCTTTCCCCTTCCATCCCTCCCCTCCCCTCCCGTCCCCGCTCTCTACCATGCCCCTCTTCAGAGGATGCATGCAAAGCAGCCCAGCGCAACCCGTGTGCAGTGGGGCAGTGTGTGAATGACGGGGCGGGGTCGTACTCGTGTGTGTGTCCACCGGGCTTCAGGCAGGGCACCGCTGCCGAGGGCACTTACTCCTGTGCTCCAGGTACCTTCTCCTGTGCTCCAGGTACCTTCTCCTGTGCTCCAGGTACCTTCTCCTGTGCTCCAGGTACCTTCTCCTGTGCTCCAGGTACCTTCTCCTGTGCTCCAGGTACCTTCTCCTGTGCTCCAGGTACCTTCTCCTGTGCTCCAGGTACCTTCTCCTGTGCTCCAGGTGGTACCTTCTCCTGTGCTCCAGGTACCTTCTCCTGTGCTCCAGGCACCTTCTCCTGTGCTCCAGGCACCTTCTCCTGTGCTCCAGGCACCTTCTCCTGTGCTCCAGGTACCTTCTCCTGTGCTCCAGGCACCTTCTCCTGTGCTCCAGGCACCTTCTCCTGTGCTCCAGGTACCTTCTCCTGTGCTCCAGGTACCTTCTCTTGTGCTCCAGGTACCTTCTCCTGTGCTCCAGGTACCTTCTCCTGTGCTCCAGGTACCTTCTCCTGTGCTCCAGGTGGTACCTTCTCCTGTGCTCCAGGTACCTTCTCCTGTGCTCCAGGCACCTTCTCCTGTGCTCCAGGCACCTTCTCCTGTGCTCCAGGCACCTTCTCCTGTGCTCCAGGTACCTTCTCCTGTGCTCCAGGCACCTTCTCCTGTGCTCCAGGCACCTTCTCCTGTGCTCCAGGTACCTTCTCCTGTGCTCCAGGTACCTTCTCTTGTGCTCCAGGTACCTTCTCCTGTGCTCCAGGTACCTTCTCCTGTGCTCCAGGTATCGTCCTGTGCTTCCAGCTAAGCTAAGTGTTCTGGTGCTCGAGGTACCTTCTCCTGCTCCAGGTAGACATGAGCAACGAGCGAACCGAACGCGTTTGCTTCGAACAGTTGACGAACACTTGGTCAACTCGAACCGAACCGAACAGGTTTGTCCCGAACAGTTTTCGTAAATGTTAGTGTTCCTTGTGCGAGTATAGTGTCGAACAGTTTTGAGGCATGGCCGAACACTAAGGTGTTTGTAGCGAACTCGAACAGTTTGCCATGGGGGGTTCTTTCTATTATAATCACATTCAGTGCATGTAAGAAACTCAGGGCGTGTGTTCTACAAGCAAAATCAGAATGTAAATAAAGGTAGCAGCGAAGATCCGCAATGCCTCGCGCACATGGTCTAGTGAAATATGGATAAATAAGTCAAGCTCAAAGTTCAGGGCCATGTCAAATCAAGGACATGCAAAACAAAGCCAGACAGCACCAAGTCCCCATGCTACTCCCTCACTCAACTCCGGTTCCTCCCCCCACAGCAACAGCCTCCTCCTCATCCCCCTCATCTAGCCCCTCTCCCTCCAGCGCCAACTCTGGTGGTGCCTGCCTATGTTGCGGAAGACGCGTCTAGCGTCTTAGACGGTTGCGTCTAGACGCAGCGTCTAAGACGCTAGACGCATTTCAGGCCAGATTAGACGCATATTAGACGAAAACCCGGGCAGGCCTAAAAAAAACGTCCGCGCAGCGAAAAAAACCCTCTTATAGGGCGTGGAGAGGGCGGGGAGAAGGACATTGCACACATTTTGGCAAAAAGGGTTGAGGGTTTTTGAAGGAGAATTGAGTTAGCGTGTAAACCCCAAGGGTTTTTGAAAGAGAATTGAGTTGGACTAGATATGAGGAGCACAGATGAGGTGGTTGTGCTCCTATATGCCTTTGGTGGTGGTCCACAAAGACCTTTGAGGTTGCAATTTGGGTTGGGGGGTAACAAAAGTTGGTTGGGGGGGCTGTTTTTCATTGTCGAAATGGGTGGGAGGGGTTTCAAATGTTGCGAAATTGAATTTCGCGTCGAAATCGCGAAATTCAATGTCGCGCACGCGAATTTATTTTTTTCCGGGCTGCCCGAAAACATTTGCCACATGCGTCTAGCGTCTAAAGGTGCGTCTTGCGTCTAGCGTCTAGACGCAGCGTCTAGACGCTAGACGCAGGACGGTCCCTGCGTCTTCCGCAACATAGGTGCCTGCTCTCCGCTGCTGCCAGGTTCCTCACCAATACTCTTCCCTGGGTGTGACGAGTACCATGACCTGAGAGTCATGCTTGCGCTAACACGCTCAGTGTTCAGCCTGTGCCTGTGCAAGGAGATGAGATTCCTCCCCATGGAGAAAGCTCGCTCGCTAGCTGCAGAGGTGGCGGGGATAGCAAGGTAATCCCGTGCCATTTGCCTCAACGTGTCCATGTTCCTCGCACGCTGCCAGTACTGCAGCGCTGGCACGTCCGAGACAGGCAGCTCCGCTAAGTACCGATCCACCTCATCCCCCACCGACGTCCCCCCTCCCCCCGCTCTCGCCGCTGCACTAGCTGAAACACGCTTCTGCAGCTGTGCCCTGGAGAACACAAAATCGTCGTCGTCGTCCTCGAACGGTCTCACCACTGCTGCTGGTGGTGCTGGTGGTGCTGGTGGTGGGGTGGGAGCTTCACGTGCTGCTCGAGCTTGGTACTCCTCCACTCGGCGGCGCACCAAGGTCACCACCCTCTCCGCACTCATACGTGGCTTAAGCCGCCCACCCTCACGTTGCACTATGCCTGGATGCATCAGCTCCCAGTGTGTCATCCTGAAGTACTCGGCCTTCATGGACGGATCCAAGAAGGTCGCGATCCAGTACTCGTCTCCGATGGCAAACTCATACTGCTTCAGGTGCTCCAGCGCGGCGGACATGAGTGGACGAACTAGTTCATTCGTCCCTGTGTGCAGCTTCTTCTCCAGGCTGTCGATGAGGGCGTAGAAGTATGGCAGCACCATCGACACAGTGGGGTAGGTCGACCCCTCGGCGGCGGCAGTGGAGACTCTGGCAAAGGGACGGAGAAACCCCTCCAAAGCCCCCAAGGCCTCCCACTCGGCATCGGTCATACGCATACCTCGCCACTTCTCCTTCTCTTCCTTCGTGGTGCCCTGTTGATTAGGTGAGGGCACAAGCATGGGTTGGATGACATTGAGTACATGTGCTTATGCCTGGGGAATGGTTGGAACTTAGTGGATTCAGACAATCTTCAAAGCAACAGCACTTACGCGTCCAATCAACACAGATTGCAATGGATACGAATGGAGCCGTACCTGCTCGCGGGCAAAGTGCATGTCGATGAAGGACCTCAGCAGCAAGAAGCGCTTAACCATCTCGTATGTGGACCCCCACCGCGTAGGACTGTCCTGAACGAGCTTGTGCGGCCCATTGGGTAGCACTCCATGCCGAACCTGCAGCGCAATGAAGGCGGCTCCTCTCTGGGGCGACATGCCCACCCACGTAGTAATCTCCCGCACCTTTTTCAGGGGCACCGTCATCGAATCCACACCCAGCCCAGACTGCACTGCCAGGTTCACAATGTGCGACAGGCACCTGCGTTGGATCGGAGCGGTTTAGGGTTTCAAACAGGCGAACGTGAATAGAGGGGTGTTATGGTGCGAACAGAAGCAAAAGGGACCAGGTTTAGGGTCAGTCGATGCTGATGGTTTATTGATGGAATCCAGCTACAAGACGGACCTGTAGTGCGCCTTCTCGCTGAAGTACCCCGAGAATTCACCCTCCTCCGCCAGGTGCCGAAGAGCAACGACGTTTGCAGACGCATTGTCGGTCGTGAGACCGATGCAACGCGTCTGCAACTTCCACTGCACCACCACCTTCTCCACCGCCTTAGCAATCTCCCTCCCCCCATGCCTGCCAGGCATCTCGACGAAAGCAAGAATCACCTGGCGCAACTCCCACTGCTAAGACACGAAGTGACCTGTCAGCACCATGTAGGCCTTGCCGTTCGGGCCTGTCCACATGTCGGTGCTGTACAACACGGCACATGTTGTAGAGGCCAGCTCTGCAATCGCTGCCTCGAGCGCCAAGTCAGCAAGGACAACGGTGTCGCGCGCCACCGTCCAGCGTGATGGGATAACGCCATTCTCCCCACACATTTCGTTCAGCATGATCAGCAACTCCTTGAACTGGTGTTGTATATACAAGCACGAGGAGGGGCGTTTAGGGATGGACATCAATATGGTAATAGGGGCATGGCATGTGTAGCATGGGTGACCGTATATCATAAACAATCATGATGGCGTTCTTGCATCCTCAGCGTTGATGACATGATGGCTGGACTGCAATGAAGTAGCACGTGCGGCCAGCAATCTCAATCCATCAAAGCACAGCGAATAGGAGGGGGGGTGAAAGCTTTCTCACCGCATCCAGCTCGACGATGCGAAAGGGCAAGTCGCCGGTCACCACAAGCTTCGTGATCGCCGCACGAAGCTTCAGCTTACTTAGCCTCGCTGTAACAAAGCGCTCAATGCCGCCTGCCTCACCCTTCGCGCTCGGGGTCTGCACCACCGGGATATTGGGCCACGAGGCCACGTGTGGCCAATCCACCACCTTCTTGTCGGGAACTCCATCGTAGCCACCCTCCGGGAAAGTCTCCCCCTTAGTCAGTAGGTGTGGTCTAAGGGACCTATACTGCCAAATGTCGTGGTGCGCCGTGTGCTTCGCAAGCATGTGGCGCACCCCTGGAGTCGTAGTGCTCGTCGACCAACAGATACGAGTGTCGCACATCTTACACTTGCGCTTCTCATCCGCCCCCAATGGCCCGAACATCTGGACCTGCCACCCCGGGGCATTCTTACACCCTTTCTTGGCCTTTAAAGGCCCATCATTTTCATCTACCGACGCGGCCATACCGTCCTCTTCCCCCCCCTCCTCCTGACCTTGTACGCCTTTACCCTTGCCCTTCTTCTTCCCGTTCCCCTTGCCTTTGGCCTTCCCCTTGGCCTTCCCCTTGGCCTTCCCCTTGGCCTTCCCCTTGGCCTTCCCCTTGGCCTTCCCCTTGGCCTTCCCCTTGGCCTTCCCCTTGGCCTTCCCCTTAGCCTTCCCCGGCTGTGACACCTCCTCCTCCTCCTCCTCCTCAGCCTCCTCACCACTACCCTCTCCCTCCCCCTCCTCCTCCTCCTCCTCCTCCTCCTCCTCCTCCTCCTCCTCCTCCTCCTCCTCCTCCTCCTCCTCACCCTTCTCCTCACCCTTCTCCTCCTCCTCCTCCTCGTCATCCCTCAACCCCGCACAATCCCCATCTTTCTTCGGATCATAATCCTTGTCATTGCTATCGGATGGACTACGTTGGATGCGTGGGCGCTTCTTTTCCAGCCGCCACTCTCCAGCCAATCCCTTTGGCTTCCCCACCCCCCCACCACCCTTGACACTCCCCCTCCCCCCTTCCGCATCCTCCTCGGCCTCCTCTGAATTCTCCTCGGTCTCATCACGAGACTTCCCATACCGATGTGAGGGTGCAGCCAGCCCCCCGCCACTAAACCTGTAGCTCTTTGGTGACGTGGGTACTCCTAGGTATTGCCCCCCTATGAGCTCGAGAGGTGCGTGAGGGCTTGCGGTCCCAGTTGCAGTAACTAGTGCGGATGGGCCAGGAATGGCCTTGTCTTGGCTGCTAACCAACCCTACATCAACCATTTCGGAATCCATAATGGCCTAGCCAGATAACGGTGGAAAACAAGGTGTTCACGCACTTTCACAAAAGCCCTACAATAGTTATTGTAAGGCTTGGCGCAGATCTGGTGGGAATCAATTACGCCTTGCTAAACTCTTTGCTAAAACGAAACCGTCAATATTTCAGACTTTTAACATTTCCTAACCTAATCTACCCTTATACTTAACGTTTCTAGCCGCAATGTGGACTTTAAACCGTGGGAATGGTGCAGTTTAAGTAGGTAGTGGGCGGAAAGCTATCCTTAGTGGAAATCGACGATTGAGCCCAAAAATGAGCTCAATCGTCGACCCCCACTTTTAGATCCAACCAGCGCGCCAAAATTTGACGCGCTGGATTTCGGAGAACACCTAGGTGTTCGCGCTCGAACACTTTGTGTTCGCGAACACCTAGGTGTTCGCGCACGAACACTTTGTGTTCGCGAACACCTAGGTGTTCGTGCATTTTTTTGCACGAACAAGGTGTTTGCGCAGGAACACTTTGTGTTCGCGAACACCTAGGTGTTCGTGCATTTTTTTGCACGAACAAATTCGAACAGTCGAACATGTTCGTGACGAACACCTAGGTGTTCGTCAGGAACACTTTTGGCCAAAAAAAAACCCCTGTTCGGTTCGAGTCGAACATGTTCGACTCGAACCGAACAGGGGTTCGGGATTTTGCTCATATCTAGCTCCAGGTACCCTTTTGTGTTGTTGTGTGCGCTTAGGGTGTTTTCTCATCTACTAGTAATGAAAATGTGGACGCGGTATGTGGAGTAAATTAAAATGGCCTAACCGCCGAGTAGAAAGTATGGTGATCTATGGAAGGAAAGTATGAAAATATGGACTTGTACTTCAGGGCGTGCCACACAATTAAGGCTGCCCTGTGTACACCCTTCTTTGGTCCGGTTCAAACCGGACGCCGGGTGTCTGACCACCCAGCTTTAGAAGACGAAGGGTGTACTAACCCTTGCACCAGTCTTGGACCAGATTTCTGACCTGGATTTTATTTTAGTTTGTGAAACGGGTATTTAACAAGGGAGATGCATTGCAACAACTCTCGGGCCAGCTCGGTCGAGGGACCAGGCCAGCATGCGACACCCATGAGTGGTTGTGAGATTCCAATGCAACAGCCACGGAACCACCACATTGTCATGCCATGACTCCAGCGCATGTCACACACACCAGACTGTATGTGGTTTAACCTATGCCCTATGCATAGAGGGCCCTATGCATAGAGGGCCCTATGCAGTACCTCCGATTCCAGTGCGTGTGGGTGTGGTGCGATAGCCAGGGTTAGTGTGGGATAGTGTGCGATCGCACATCTCTTGATCTGGGTGTTGGTATGCCCTGGACTGCATTTGGTCTGAGGCTGGTTTAAGGGCTGCTTTGCCTGTCCGGCGTGTCTGCCCTGTGGACCAGAAAACGTGTGCAGGGGGACTTGGACTGGGTTGGGCTCGGACCAAGGGAAGGGCGGACTAATCCACCCTTCCCTTAGGTTGACAGGGAATATCACCACTACGGGAAAGGAGGGGTTGACTGACAGGGACACCAAGCCAGGCCTTGGGTTCAATTGTTCGCTGAATATTCGAGAACAATTGGAAATTGAACTCATAGGCTGGTTCCGCATGGAAGTTAAGTACAGGGTAGATTCTCGTGCAGATTTGCATCACCTAGAATTCCCTGTGCCCCACAACAGATGCATCGCAGCACAACAAAGGAATGAGAACATCATATTTAGATTCAAAAAAAAAAAAAAAAACACACACACACACACACACACGTTTTGTCTGACCGTACTTTTGGTTTTTATTCCGGAGGTGCGTTCACTTAATTCAGATACCCGTAAACATAAGGAACCAACGAAGGTCCCGGTGGCCAAGCATGCAAGCATCTTTTGGTTCGTGTGCCTCCCGCTTACTCGCTTCTCTTGAGCCTTCTATTATTCTTTGTTCCATGCTGTGCTGCGTGCAGGTGACACCAGCAACACCTACACCGTGCTCGCTGCCAACGTCCGCTGCTCCGATGTCTTCCCGGTCTACGGCCTCACACTCGCCCAGTTCCAAGACCAAAATGTGCTTCTCCTGCTCGCTTTGAGAAATCTCATAAATGCTAGAAGTATTTTCATAGGACCATAACATGCATCTCCTGCTCCCACACCTCAACAACAGTTGTCTCCGTGTCTTTTGCCCCGCAACTCACACAGAAGCTCCTGCCTTCCCATGCGTGCATGGGTGTGTGTCGTGTCTCTTCATGCCCCCCCTTCCCCCGTGCATGCAGCCATCGGTGTCGTGTGCAGCACCCATCCCACCCTCCACTGTGCTCAAAGTGGCCAGCCCAGCCTCTCTCATCCTCTGCTCCGTCTTCTACACCACTCAGCAGGTCCCCACCTCGCACCCTTCCTGCCAATACGCCACTAATAGGGTCTTCTTCTATCTGCCCTTCTGCACCTATCCTAGTGTGCCACTCCTCCTCCTACCCTCCGCCTCCGCCATCTCACTCTAACTGCCATTTCTGACCTCACAGCTTTTCTTTCATCTCACTTCCTTTTACTGGGTGGAGCAGGTTCCCACCTCCCACCTTTCCTGCCAATACGCCTCTCCTGGTCTTCCTCTATCTGCCCCTCCACCCATGTCCTTCTCTGCCATTCCCCATCCCTTCCTCATCCATCTCACCTCAACTGCCATTCTCAACCTCACATTAACCGCTTCTTTCACCTCACTTCTCTTCACAGATTGGAGCCCTTGCACTCTCTCGCTCACTGCTCCCTCTTCCTCCCACATCCTCCTCCCTGCATCGCGTTCTCAGGGCGACACCTGTGCGGACCTAGCATTGTATTTCAAACTGCGCTCGTCCTGCCCATCTAGCGCCTGCACGGCCAAATTCCAGGCGCTCAACCCCAGCTTGGACTGCACTGCCAACGGCGGGCTGCTGCAGCCCGAGCAGGCGGTGTGTGTGGAGCGCATGAGTGATCAAGTGGGGCTCATCCCGGTGTGCTCGCAGTACTACCTGGTGCAGAGCGCAGAGACTTGCGACTCCATCCGCAATGTGCCCTTCCCCGCTCTGAGCCCCGTTGACTTCTTCCGTCTCAACCCCGGCATCAAGTGCAACCGCCTCATTCCGAAGACCAATGTTGACGGCTTCACTGGCTTTGAGGTTCTGCTCATGCCTCTCTTTCGTTCCCTGTGGATCAAACCTTTTGTCCTATCTTTCAATTAAACTGGCTTGTCTTCTCGCTCATGCTTACCGCCAAGCTGGTTTTCTCGTGACTGCTCTCTTTTACTATTTTCTCCTTTTCTTCTTCGCTCCACCCCTCCTCCCTTTTTTCCACCCCCCCAGGCATGCATAGCAAGCTCCACTTCCTACACTCAGGGCTTGTGCCCACGCGCGAATGCGTATGTGGTGGGGACAGGCGACAGGTGCACGGGCCTTCAGGTGAAGTACTTCCGGGGCATCAAGGGCTGCTACAGGAAAGTCAACGGATACGACTGCATCGACAAGCTCGTCAAATCAACCCGCGTGTGCCTGCCTGACAAAGTCAAGCTTAAGAAGGGAAAGTGCGACAACTGACCTCCTGCAGGCTGTCTCTGCATCTGCTGTGCTGACCAAGTCTGGCGCTGCCTCTTACGTGCTTGCACAGTCTTAAAGGATCTCGGTGTGCTTATGCTCAACAAGATGCTTCGTCCTTCACTGAAACACTGTGACAGGTCTAGCGGGGAATACGGGAATAGTTTGGCTGAGTATTAATGCCCTGAAGATACAGTTGTCTTTTATTGGGGTATATTCTAATAACATTATTTTTATAAGGGATCCTATTACCAGTATAAGATAACACGCTTATTGTCAATATGTATATGTATATATATGCATGTTAGTCTTAGGCTACAGTGAGGTACACTTTAGAGAGTACAACCCTTTTAGGATTGCATATTTGTATCTCATTCTTGCTAGTCGTGATCATTCCGTTGTTCGTACTACCGTCATCGCCCGGATATAAGACATATGGGTCTTATCCAATATCGCCTTAAAAAGGTGATTTTTATCTTGTAAAAGGAACTTTCGGGGGTGTCTTATAAATCTTATAAACAAGAATGTTTGTCACTTATAGATTTAAGCTAGATCTGGCTGTGAGGTGTTACAAGCAGGGCTCTAGATTGGTTTTGGGCCACCCTTCCTAATCAGGGTTCTAGGTAGTCCCAACCCTGACTCATAGGGTAAAAAAAATCGTTCCCTGACAAATTCAGGGTAAAAAATCTAATACCGTATTACCCCGGATAAAAGCGCAGGTGTGCTTATAATAAATCAGTGTTTTTGGGGGGGGGTGCGCTTATAAATGAGTCACGGGCATAAGCGCATGCGCTTATATAATGACAAATACAGAAATATGTTTTAAGCGCACCAAATTGTTCATCTTAGTCTTGTGATTCTAATCGAATCGAAATATTAGTGCGTCTTAGATCAGGATCGCGCGAGGGCAATTGATTCCCCCCCCCCCCTCCCCCCCCACGTGCGTGCTGTCAGCCAGCCAACTTCGTGCCGTTTCGCGCGAGGGCGATATTTTGCCTCTTCGCCCCCCCCCCCCCCCCCCCCTCCCCCCCCCCCCACGTGCGTGCTGTCAGTCAGGTTCGTGCCGTATAGCTTTTCCCGCCCTTACCGAACCGAACGGGCGAGTATGTTGGCCGACTTGTCGAGGGTGTCAAAGCAAAGGACGTAGACTCGCTGCAAAGCGGAAAATCGTTACGGTACCTAATCAGGAATAAAACATAATTATGCATGCGCTTATAATAAAAGATTTCACAGGGGGTGCGCTTATAATTGAGGATCGGGCAAAAGCGCATTGCTCCAGATATAAGCGCATGCGCTTTTAATAGGCCTGCGGTTATATCCGGGGCGATACGGTAGACTGTTTGGGCAGGGTAACTCTTTAAAGTTATTCTATAAAACTTTAAAAACGTTGTCTGCATCACTTAGTGGCTCAGTTGGTACGATTACGGCTTTGATCTTCAAGGTCGCTTGTTCGATTCTCGCTGTTGGGAGTATTTTGCAGGGGCTCGAACAGAGTTTCGTCTCGTTATGGAGCATTCGGTATTAGTGTAGTTGGGATCGTACCTGTACAGTCAGAGAAACAAATCCCTTACGCTGTTTTTCAAAGGGTAAAAAAAAACTTACACTTTCTGGCCTAGGATAAAAATCCCATTACCCTTCCTGGGAAAGGGTAACTGAAAAAAAGTGGCCGCCAGTCAGGGCAATCAGGGTGTTTTACCCTGATAACGAGAGCCCTGGTTACAAGAGAGCAATCGATGTGTTGAATACATGTTATATATATATGTTTATATTAACTGCCTTAGCATGTAGATTAGTGTAGGTACATTGGTGGTGCACCTCATTCTCTTGTTTCTTGCCTATATGTTCTTCCTTTGCTATAGTGAACCCCCCTTTTTGGCCAACACCTTCCTCTCGTTCCTCTTGCCTTGGCTAGCTCAAACCCTAGCCATGGCTCCTAACTAAGTTGCTATCTCGACATGCTATCAGAGTAGGCCTGATCCTAGGCCATTATTTTATCCACATGGGCCCACCATTTTCGTCTCCTATGGCTGCCCCCGTCGCTCCCTGCTTCGTACTGCCCGTCGCGCAGCTTCCGTCCGTCACCCTGCCCATGACGGCGAGCTGCGCGATGGCGCCAAATGCGGCCCCGATGCGGCTTCTCGTCGTGCGCGTCGCTGGCCCCGTCCGTCGCCTGCCCCCGCTCGTCGCAGCCCGTCCGTCCCGCGCCGTTTCGTCGCCCCGCGGCCCCCCGTCGCCCCCTGCCGTTTCGTCGCCCCGCGCCCTCCCGTCGCCACGCGCCGTTTTGTCGCCCCGCGCCCCCCCGTCGCCCCCTGCCGTTTCGTCGCCCCGCGGCCCCCCGTCGCCACGCGCCGTTTCGTCGCCCCGCGACCCCCCGTCGCCCCGCGCCGTTTCGTCGCCCCACAGCTCCCCGTCGCCCCTCCCCGCTTCGTCGCCCTCCCGCGGCGTCCCTCGCGCGGTCTCTGCCGTGCGTGGGGTGATGGGGTGGTGCCCGAGAGTGGGGGAGGCGGGGGTGGGTGACTCGGCCTCCCCGCTCTCCTCTCTGTCCCTGCAGCGGCTGGTGCTGAAGGGGAGGGGGGGGGAGGGGGTGGCTGGCTCTGCTGCTACGCCATGCTGCCGCCCGCCTTCTCCTTCTCCCTGCTGCTCGTGCAGCCGAGGAGGGGGTGGGGGGAGGGTGTTGGGGTGGCGGGTGTGTCAAACCAGCGGCCGTCCCTCCTCCTCTCTCTCTTCCTGCCGCCCCTCCTGGGGTGGGGGGCAGGGGGGGGGGGGGGGGGGGGGTAGGGTGAGGGGGTGGCGGGGGTGACCAGAATGCGCCAGCCCGCCTCCTCTCTCTTCCTGCCGCCCCTCCTGGGGTGTGGGGGAGGGGGGGGGAGGGTGAGGGGGTGGCAGGAGTGATCGCTCTTTCTTCGTGTGTTCCCGTGTGTTTCCGCTGCGCATCTCTGCTTCTTGTACGTGCCTGTCCTGCCATGTCCGTGCCTGCAATGTCTGTCCTACTGAACTGCGCTGTGGGGGGGAGGTTTGGGGAAGGGGGAGGAGGTTGAAAGGGGGTGGACGCCGTGAAGCCAGCAGCTCCTGTCGCCCGTGAGCCCGTTGCTCCAGTCGTCCGTGAGCCCGTTGCTCCAGTCGCCCGTGAGTCAGTTGCTCCAGCCGCTCGTCTAGCCGCGGAGCCAGTTTACTCCAGTTGCCCGTGTGCTAGTTGCTCCAGTTGCCCATGTGCCAGTTGCTCCAGTTGCCCGTGTGCCAGCAGCTTCAGCCACCGCCCACCACCTCCTCTCCTCTCATGGTCCCTCCTCCTCCTCACTTGCCCTCTCCTACTTCCGATGTGTCTGTTGTACCCCCTCAGGGGGTGTGACTTCACAAGCTCATGCTGTAGGCAGTTAAGGGGGTGTGTTGAATACATATTATATATATGTGTTTATATTAAATGCCTTAGCATATAGTTTAGTGTAGGTACATTGGTGGTGCACCTCATTCTCTTGTTTCTTGCCTATATGTTCTTCCTTTGCTATAGTGAACCCCCCTTTTTTGCCAACACCTTCCTCTCGTTCCTCTTGCCTTGGCTAGCTCAAACCCTAGCCATGGATCCTAACTAAGTTGCTATCTCGACACGATGTTACTTGGGCCACCGTTTCGGCCTCCACCCACACTTCATATCACGTGACCACTCATCATTACAAGGGTGGCAAAGTTGCCCAGCAAAGCAGCAACATGGCAGCGTGGCAGCAAGTTGGCAAGGTTTAGGAAAGGTGGCCGCCTATGCATGGTGGCAGTACCTGTCCTTTCCTGTTGGAGGAAGGGCCTCGCAGAGGAAAGCTGAGAGGGGTCTACCCGTTGGCGTGCTCATTCTTGTTGTGCCTTTCGAGAAAACTCCTCTCCCCTGTGCTCGGCAGACTCCTCGTCCCTCTCCTCACTCTGCGCTTAGGCATGCCTCACGATGCGGAGTAAGACGCCGGCCGTCGCTTTAGATGCGCCCGTCACGGTTTACGTCGATAATAACGGGCGAATTAACTCGCCAGGAGACAACATCCAGATCTGCTGTGCTTCGCCGTCCGCGGCGAAGAACCATGCCGCGTCGAACGATGCAGCCCCCGTAAAGAGCTGCGTCGAGTCAGTCCCGGAGGCGAGCGACGGCCACGATGAAGAGGAATGGCCTGAAGACGGCCACTATGGTGACGGTGACACGCGCGCTACACAAGATCCGAAAGTCGAGGAGGACGAGTGGTGGCTGAAAGACTACAGGGATGAGGAGGTGGAAGAGTGGCGTGCAGGAGACGGTGAAGAAGGTGTTGCGGAAACGGGAGAAGGCGGTGCTGGAGATGGTGTAGCGGACATGACGACTGCCGCGGTCGTCATGCCATCTGCTGCTGCAGCTGTTGAAGACAAAGGAGAGGAAGGTGATGCCGCTGCCGACGAGGGTGATGAAGACAATCCGTGGAAGATGGACGAAGACGACGTCCCGCTGTTTCGTCGGCGTGTGAAGCATCGAGTTGACGTCGCGGCCCGGAAAGAATCCGGGCGTTTCACGGCGGCGGAGAAGGGCAAGCAGAAGGTTGATGAAGGACCCTCACGGTGGCGTTTCATGGCGGCGGAGAAGGGTAAGTAGAAGGTTGATGAGGCTCCCTCAAAGCGGTGGGTACCGGCGGCGGAGAAGGGGAAGGAGAAGAAGAAGCGGGCACCAAAGAAGAAGGCACCAGCTGCTGCACCTGCTGAACCATCTGATAATTCAGTGACTACGGTGAAGCTGCTGGTCCGATTCCGACATACCCTGAGAAGCAAAAACCTAAGGATCCTACGAAGAGGAATCTGGATGCAAGACCGCCGTTGCCTCGCAACCGCGGAGAGAAGCGCAATCGGAGGGGCTGGACCGTGAAGGAGAAGCTGAAATGGTCCAAGCGATATGGTGAGCTCGGATCTTTGAAGAAGACCTCCGTGGAGTCCGGTGCTTCGGTAGCATCCATTCGGCGGTGGGTTGGGCAGAGGGTTGCTGGAGTCTACAAGGGCGCAGCGAGCAGCAGGAAACGAATGCATGGTGCAGGGCGTCACCCGCACTACCCCGACATGGAGGAGGCGCTCTACCGCCACATCTGTGTGCATCGGGCGAAGGGCGTGCCCATCTCCGTGTTGGACACGCAGAAGTGGAGCAGGGCATGGATGAAGAAGCACCACAAGGGGAAGGAGTGGGCCGCCAGTTCTCATTGGAGCCAGCGTTTCAGCGACCGCACGAAGGTCGGCCAGAAGTTGAGCAACGGTAAGTTTGCTCATCACTGCATCCTCTCATGCTTGTACCCACCGTGAATTACAGCAATTGAATCTCATGCATGAACCTTCTCTTCCCATCTCTTCTCTTGCCCGACTCTTCTCTTTCCCTTCTCTCTCCCTTCTCTTTCCCCGTCGTGAATGCAGAGTGTGCAAAGGACTGTCACGGGTTTTGGAGGTTCGTGCCCATCAACCGAGCGCGGCATGGCATGGACCTGGACCGCATCATCAACGCGGATCAGACTCCACTGTTCGTGGAGATCCCCGCCGAGCGCACTCTGGAGCACACGGGGGCGCGGTCAGTGCCTATCCGTACAGCCAGATACGAGAAGCAGCGCCTGACCGTGATGCTTGCATGTACGGCCAGCGGGAAAAAGTTGCGGCCGTGGGTGTGGTTCAAGATGAAGAATCCCCCGAAGTGCGACAAGCCAGAAGGTGAGTGATGTGCTTGACACAGTGCGAATATGTGAGAATCTGTGCAAATCTGTTTGAATCTGTCCGGATCCGTGAGTGAACCTGCAGTGCATGCCCTGTCCTGATCCCGTGCGCATCTCTTGTCCTGATCCATTGTGCCTGGCAGGTGTGGTGGTGCAAGCCCAAGTGAATGGGTGGATGGATGAGGACGCGGTAGGTGCTTGGCTTAGAGGGGAGATCCTCCCTTACTTCAACCCTGTCAAAGGTGCGGCGGCCAAGCGATCCATGCTGGTGCTCGACTCTTACCGCGGGCACATTACCCCTGGAATGCTCGCCGCCTACCGCACACACTCCATCACGCCGGCCATCATCCCAGCTGAATGCACCAGCCAGATCCAGCCGCTCGATGTGTCCATCAATCGTTGTTTCAAGGCGGGGGTGCGCGCGCGTTACTGCCGGTGATTCATGCGGCACGGCATCAACCTCCGAACCCCCAAAGGTGAGTCAACCCTCTCCCTATCACATGACACTTGTGTGTAGTCCAATTCCAGCAGTGCCTGTTTGCCTCACAACCGCGTGTGTGTGTGTGTGTGCTTGTTTTCGGTACTGTACGTGCAGGGAACCTCAGGCGGCCACCACATGAAGTGGTGCTGAGGTGGATTGATGAGTCGTGGGAGGACGTGTTGGTGGAGGTCATCATGAAGGCCTTCAAAACATGCGGGATCTCCAGCTCCCTCGACGGCAAAGAGAATCACCTCGTCCTCGCCCATCTGCGTGCAAGGAGCACGACAGATGTGTCTGAGGACATGTCGCTGGCAGGAACGAGCGGAGACAACACGGGCTTTGTGGGCAAAGCCCCAGAAGGAGAGGGGAGTGAGGGGGAGGGTGAGGAGGAGGATGAGGACGAGGCAGAGGAGGTGGGTGCATCTCCCTGTGGAGGAGGACCCCTACCCTGACACTGTGTCGTACCGTGGGGCTGCAGCATTGGCCGACAAGCTTGTGGCCCCTGCTGGTCTTGACGTACTGTTGGTGCAGGATCTGAGACTTGATGAGGAGGACGGTGCACCATCCGATGACCCCTGCACTGAGGCTGAGGGGGTCACTGAAGTAGAAGCTAGAATTGTTGGTTTGTAAAAGGTTCTGAACAGGCCATGACTCTAAAGCAGAACGGTACAGAGAATCCCTATGTAGCGCTGTTTATAAGAGACCATGTTCTAGACAGGGTGTCTTAACCCATATCGTCAAGAGGGTGTCTAATAATAGGAAGTTCCGACTATAAGAAAACACCCGTATTAAAGACACCCATGTCTACTATTCAACACTGTCTTCTATCTGGGCGATGACGGTATATTATGACACACCCCCTAAACCCGCTGCAGCTCCGTCTGCCCTTGGTGTACCCCTTACGGGGGTGTCTCTGCACGTGGCTTCCACTCCAGGCAGTTAGGGGGTGTGTTAGAAATTATACATTTCATATAACTGCCTGCTAGTGTAGCTACTGTGTAGTGTTAAAACATCTGCTTGACTTTGCCGATTTGTACTCCCGCTTCTCTTAGTGAAACCCCCTTTTCTTGGCCAACTCTCGTAAACCTCTCACGACATGGTTTCAGAGCAGTTACTTTCATAGGCCGTTTATTTTCAGTTATGGGCCCACCCGCTTCCTACTTACGCATGGCTGTGGATCGCGCCCCTCTCATCTCGCCCTCTGTTACGCGCCCGTTGCTGGATTCGTAGCGACGGTCGCGGAAGCGAGCTGGGCGCGACCCCTTCCATCGCCTGACCCGTCGCGCTCTCCGTCACACGCTCTGTCATGCCAACAGCAACGCGTGCGCACGCCAGCAGCAGCGCGCGCACACGCCAGAGGCGCACGCACGCCAGCGCACGCGCGCCTGCTGCAGAATACAGCGCACGCCCACACCAGCAGCAGCACGCACACATGCCAGCGCACGTTCGCCTGCAACAGCTCGTCACCTGTGCCCTTCCCCCCCCACACCCCGTCGCCCCGCCAGCTCCTCCCGCGGCACTCCTACTGTGGGGGGAAGATGGATGGGGTGGCGGCCAGGGGGGGAGATAGCGTAAGGGGGTGGACGCCGTGAGCCCCCTGCACGCCCCACCACCGCCCTGTCACGCCTCACCCGCGACTGCTGCTATGGGGGGGGAGGTGGCGGGGACGTGGGGAGGAGGTGAGGGGGTGGCGTGCATCAGCCGGCAGCTCCACCGCCCCCGCTCATCCTCTCTTCTCTCTCTCCCGGCCGCGCCTGCTGCCGTGGGGGGGGGGGTGAGGGGGTGGGGGGAACGTTGAGCAGTCGCCCCTAACCTTTTCCTCCTCCTCATTCTCTCTCTTCCGCTGTTTCTTCTCGCTCTTCCTCCTCCTCTCATCTCCGCCTCATGCCCCGCCTACTTGTATTTCGTTCTGTCGTTCTCTCATTCTTTCGTGTTGCTGCTGCCTGTTGATGGCTCGCCCCCGAGGTGCTGAGCCGTGCTGTCCTACTGCTCGTTGCAGCCACAACGCCTGCTCTCTCGCCCACCTACCGTCGCCTGCACCTGCCGCTGCTGCATCTGCCGTGACTGAGGTTACTACAACTCTCTGCTCTCTTCAGTTGCGCCACATGTGCCTGCACTAGTTCCTGCTGCAAGCAGGTTAGGGGGGTGTGTTAAAGTTATGTTTTATATACCCTGCTTGCTGCATAGGTATAGTGTAGTTACATACTTGGTGGTGCACCCTCTCTTGCTGAACTTGTTCTATTTGTACCTCCCACTCCATCCTGCAATCCTCTTTGGCCAATTCCTCTCGCCCTTCCTGACTCATGCTACACTATGATACCATGTCAAAAGGAACTAATCAGGCTTAAGAACCATGGCTAGGGTTTGGGTACTGCCATGAGTATCGAGAGAGTTGAGCAAGCCAAAGAGGTGTTTCACCATGGAAAGAGAGGTACAAACAGGAACAAGGAGCAAGATGGGTGTACCACCAACAGGGCTACTTTTATCAATACACTACAAGTATAGCTACAGGCAGCTATAGATATGTATTACGACATAGCCTACCTACCTAAGGTAGTTCCTAGCGCCAGCCAGTCAGCCAGCATCCAGCCAGCCAGCAGCCAGCTAGCCGTCAGTCCGCTGGCGCACACTGTCAACGAAGCTCGCAACCCGCAAGCCGCACGCGCCAGTAGCGCGCACTGCTATCGCGCGCCCCGCCATCGCAAAACGCACGCCAGCAGCGCGCGCCGCCAGCGCGCACCCCGCCAGTGTCGTGCACGCTTTGCTAGCGCGCGCCCCTCCAGCCAGCAGCACGCATTAGCAGCACGTGCCGCCAGCGTGCGCCCCGCCAGCGCAACCCGCACGCCAGCAGTGCACGCCACCAGCGCGCGCCTGCCAGATTAGCGCATGCCCCCCTAGTGCGCGACCTGCCAGCCAGCCGCACTCGCTAGCAGCACGCGCCACCAGCCCGCGCCCCACGCACAACTAGCGCACGCCCCACCAGCCAACGCGCGCCCCCAGTAGCGCACGCCCCGCTTGCATCGTGCTTGGCCATCCAGTCACGCCCCACTAGCAGCGCGCCTCGCTCGTCTGCTAGCCGCCACCTCCCTCGCCAGTGCCTGCCTCACGCAACATTCCCTCCGCTAGTGGCACACTAAGCAATGGCTGGAAGCCGCACTATCTTTTCGCTGGCGTCGTTTAGGGTTTCGGGGTTAGTTCCTAGCCAGCGGTTCCTAGCCAACGTTCCTAACCTGGCCATCCTAGCCTGCCGTTCCTAGCCTGGAATTCCTAGCCACAGCTCTTAGCCTAGCATTCCTAACCTGCCGTTCCTAGCCTGGCGTTCCTCTCCCACCATTCCTAGCCAGCCGTTCCTACGCCCAGCTAGCTTTTGCCATGGCGACTCCCAGAGTTCTCCGTTTCGACGCGGAAGGTCGAGCGTAAGACATTAGCACATGGCTGCTGCACGCAGATCTTTACCTCCAGAGCCAGCGCCAGGACGGTGACACGTTGTTCGCTCACACGTCGGGTGACCTGCCTGCTCCTGAGCATCCCGCCTTGCTCCCTTCTGTGCCCACTGAGGCGGACCGAGAGCAGTTTACTGCGCGGCGCAAGGAGTACTCGGTGTGAGTCTCGTGATGCGGTGGCTCGTCTCGCTCTCAGCAGCCTCCTCCCGGAGGCAGAGAGGGTCCACTTCAGCCAGGTTAAGTCAGCAAAGGAGTGCTTTCACGCTATTGTCTCTCGCTATTCTATTCCTTCCTCTAACTCCATTGGTCGCCTCCTCATGCTGTTCTTTTGCCCCGGCCTTGGTGCGTTTGACACTACTGGTGACCTAGTCACTCACCTGCGTTCACTTGACACTAGCTACCGCGCTGCCTCCTCCGCTACACACCTTGCTAGCGCCCCCCCGCCTATGTTTGCCACCCTCTATTTCATCGACGCTCGTCTCCCTGACCGTCTCTCGTCTGCACGCGACGCGCTTCTCCGGAAGCATCCCAGTGAGCTTAATATCAAACTCCTTGAGACCACTCTCACTTAGATCCAGAGTATCATCCGTTTCGTTGCCTCCACTACTGCCATAATAGTTCCCCGTCTCTTTGGGGGGTGTGCTGTGCCACAGATTCCCACCTTCACTGCTTCTCTTGCTGCTCCTTTGCTACTAAGGAGACTGCATCAGTTTCTGCTACTGGTTGGCAGAAACAGGGCAAGGGAGGTAAGAAAGGGGGGAAGGGTGGCGGTGGTGGGGGTGGTGGAGGTGATGGAGGTTCTGGTGCGTCATGAGGAGGTGGCTCTGGAGGCGGTGCCGGGCCTGCAAGTTCGGCTGGAGGAGGTATTGGCCATGGGAATGTGGCAGGAGCACAGCAGCAACACCCGCAGCAGCAGCAGCCGAAGCAGCAGCCGCACCAGCACCAAGTGCAGTAGCATGTACAGCAGCAGCAGTTTCAGCAGTGGGGACCTCAGCAGCAGTGGGGGGCTGGTGGTTCGGGGAGCGTCGGCCGCAGTAGCGGCCCTACCAACTAGAGGCCTCGTGGCATTGGCTGCGACATTGGCCCCTGCCAGTACTGGATCCAGACTTCTCCGGTACATGTTCTACCTGCGGGCGCCTCAACCACTCCAGTCTACGCTGCTTCAGTCGCCTCGACGACCTCTTTTTCCAGTGTCACAGCATTCCCCCCGCGCTGGTAGGTTCTGCTGGTAGCACTATCGTGCATTAAAGATGTCCATGGATGATGCCTTTTCTGCCATGGATGTAGTTGACTATGGTGCTGCCGGATATGTTTGCTCGCGTGTACACAGCCTGTCAAAATATATATTCAGTATAGTCTGCCTGTAGTGTAACTGTTGTATAATTCTCTTGTATGGTGGTGCACCTCTTTCTCTTTGTGTGCTATGATGAAGTCAAACATTTCGTCAATCCTCCTTGGTGACATCCTTCTCGACAACCTTGGCCGAGGCTCCTAAGCCTAGGCCCTACCTAAAGC